ATTGTAATTGTGTGTATATGTTTACGTGTGTGAATAAACTCAAACTGGGATATCACCGCGAGATTATTTAAACGAGCGTTGTTAACAATGCATGACTATCTGTCTACAACTGATGGAGCATTTATCAGCGAATACCTAGAAAAGGATACTTACTGGAAAAAGCCTGAAAATTGGGTACCTTCCAATGTAAAAACCCCGTTCTTTGCTATAGGATGGGATTGGCATTTTTATCTTGTACAAATATTGTGAAAATAGCACGATCAATATGATGGTCCTGAATAAAACAAGGAAAAAAAACAACATTTACTCAGTCCACAAGACTCCACTGGCAAAGCATTTGAATACTGATGCATCATCGTCACTATTATTATAATCATCACTGTTTATCATCATCAATTGCTCATGACACTTACATGATAGACACGCCCCAGTGAGTACCTGCGGATAAGAGCAATATTCATTAGCTCGTCGCTTGTTTTTATAATCTAATTCCGCAAGGAATAAAACATTTGCATGTACGATCAATTATTACTGGCGTTTTTACGGTATTATACCTGATTTATACGCCGCGACCTCAAAGAGAGCCAGTCCTATCAGAATGATGGTAGGAGCAATAGATACAGGACCAATAAACCTCATTAATACACCCATGAGACCAGAAAAACCCACAAGAACTTGAACTAATGACGATACTATAATRGCACCTTGGATCTGAAATGATACCCAACACAAATATAGGTCAACAAAAGCTAACAAAGATCGCAGTCAAAACACTAAATGGCTTAAACTCTGAGAGAAATTTGAGAATTGTGATTTCCGATACGCAATTAAAAGTATCTCAAAAACGAGGCTATTATTTTTGCCCCAAATCACCTCATTTTCATACATGTGCCTGCGATATTTTTGAATGCAGTTGTGCATCTCGGAAAATGTTTCTTCCTACCTCGCGCATGCGTGGTTTCCAGGCATCCATGTCTAAAGTAGCATTGCTTGTTTTGTTGATAACTACAGATAAAACATATATCAATATCTTTCAAATAATAATGGTAATATTACCATGAATTGTTTTTATTAACCTGCACATTTCCACTTTTCTGAGTCGAGTATTGATATAGCTGGCGCAAGAAAAGTGAACGTTGAGCCTTGGACGATTGGTAATCTGAGGATGACAAATAAGTTGTATTATACAATACTTATAGTCGTGTTACAGCTGTACTAGGTTTATATTAATTCGCTGGCTCAAGGTGAATACCTCAAGCCAAAAGACGTCTGTAAAAGTGTCGCTAGGCCAGACGTAAAGAACACTGTACTCATAACTTCACTAATAGCCAGATAATTATTAGCAAAGCACATTTTTTCAGCCAGGGCAAGTGGAACAGCTAAGTTAGCTCCAAGCATAGTGAGATAGTGCTGAAGAAAAACAAAGAATTAGAGAATAATAAATATAGACTTGTAGATTTGGTTATCACTGAAGTCTCGCAGACGCACTCACAGTCAGTCACACTCGCAGCAATGTCACCGATGCAACAATATYGTCGGTCTCAGCAATACTYGTAAATTTGTTCCTACCTGAAATCCAAGGACGATGCAAAGATACCATGATGGATTCTCATTGATCAAATACGCTAATCCTCCAATGCGTTTCTTCTTGTTCTTCCCTGTTTTTAGTGTAGTTATCTGATATGAAATAAGAGACAGCATACAAAAATAAATACATGAACSGTAGTCCTAACGGTGAAATAACCCTCGTATCAGTGAACGAACACCWCTGTCCCAGTTAAGAGACCCTGGTTCTAACATCGATTAACTATATATAAAGTGGAAAATGATAGCTGTGCCTGTAAGAAATTCTCAAACGCATTTCAGATGATAGGTTTTAGCGATCAGTTATAACAGACTTCATATGCTTTGCAGAAGAGCGAATATTGAAACAAGGCCATGATTACTTCGTACGGTCTATAGCGAGAAGGCCATCAAAAGCTGCGAACAAACGAGTCAAATAAATAATCGCGAACTTTGTAGTATTAGGGAAGTATACTGTTCAAGACACGTTGCGAAAATTTGACTTGTTTTGCCGAAAAGCTTGAATCATTGAATCAATGTCAGCGGTACGCATCGCCGTTACTAAGAAACAAAGGTTTTGATTAATACCAAAACATAAATAATGATTGGCTCGCATTCTCTTGGACATGTCCCTAAGGACCATCAGTATCACAATGAAACACCGCCCCTTCACTACCCCCATTAGGCAAGCCTGGTCCTCGGCTACTGCCAGCAGAGCTCAGGGAGAGCTATAATCTGATTGGTCGTTGAGAGTCTCTGGGGGTTTGACGTCACTATTATCATAACAATAGAACTTCTCCGAATAGACTACCCCAATTAGATATTAGATATCTATAAGTGTCTTCATAGCACGATGGTCTAAGAGGGTAGCTAAAGGTATGCTCTAGTGGGCGGCTACCCCCTCACTCCCTGGCCTTTTGGTTAAGACTAAGTTTTATGTTCACTCGGGATAGCGTGGAAGAGCCGAAATCTCTAACMGTAACGTAAGCCGATTCGCCGCCTCAGCTTCGTAGAATGTCTCGGGGGAATCGTCCCAATCTTTTTTTTTTAGTTTCTCATTYTTTGCCAGGGGGGTGCAAGCATGCCAAGATTATCGGTTAGGAGTTCGAGTCATACGGCGGTCGTTGTCCTTTTTTCTTTCCTTTTTTTTTCTTCTTTTTTTTTTATTTTTTTACTTTTTTTATTTTTTTCATGTGAATTCTTATTTTCGCTTTTTTCTAGTATTTTCTATTGAGAAATAGCTATTAATAATTTTTAGTTATTGCCAATTAAGACTAATGACCACCTGCGACAGACCTTAGTGTGCCAAAATGGGTTCACTGGAGTGTTCGTGTACAAAGTCTAGATATTCAAAAAAACGAACAAATAATGGTGAAGTTGGAGGTATAAATACAACACATTGTCTTGGATAGATTTTCAGAGAATCTTCGAGAAAACCTCGTCACATCGCCGAATAGATTGAAAGCCACTCAGAATCTTATTAGTGGAACAGTGAGGGTTCGTAACATGTCGATCATGTACATGGATGATGATGCTGATAAATACATCAATCAATGTAGGATAATGCTTTAGGGGGCTGCATTAGGGATTAGAGCGGATTTCGTATGACTGTGCAACGGCACGGATCACAACACGGACACGGCACGGCACGGTCACGGAACCTCGCCTTCTGGGATTCCAAATAACGCTACGCTCACTCGTGAGAGATATTTTCAACACTCGAAGATAAAATCCGTATCTCCGCGCGCCCATGTAATATCCTCTATATATATCTGGTCAAAGCCTTGCAACGGCTTTGAAGCCCCGATCATTGTTTTTTTATTCAGTATAAAGACATGCTGAAAGGTATGGGAACAGTACACGAGTAGAAAACAACCAGTTAACGAAATTCAGAAGTTAATTTGGCGTGAATCGAATGCCAAATGAAAATACATCCATGATTTACAAATGAAAAAAGGTGTGATTGCCGTGACAAAATATGAATTTTTTTTATTCGCCCTGAACGGAAGCGAAGAATAAAATGGCTCGCAAATCATTGAAGTGTACGAATGCCAAAATATTCCTCTTTCTTACTCCTGTACACTAGGCAAAGAAAAGATCATCAAAAATTAATGTTGGCATCGCATACGAGAGCAGAAAAAATACTTATAACTGGCGCAGGATCCATTAGACTTTTGAAGAGGGGCGGGTGGAACATTTTGGAAAAAAAAATTCCTGCACGACCCGAAGGACCGAAAAAAATTCCTGCAAGGCAAAATTTTGAAAAACCTCCACTAAAGCTTTTGTTGATCTACAAAAAAAATTAAGTCCCCCTCAAAAGTCTAATGGATCGCCTCTAAACACCTCTAACATAAATGTCTAGACTAAATTCATAAAGATGGGAAAAGAAAAAGCTAAATATAAACTCTGAAAGTTTCCATGATATTATCAATTTTAGATGGAACGCACTTATGAATGTGGTCTATTAGACTTTTTAACATAAAAATATAGTGTGCACTAGGATGACAGAGATGAGGACATCATATGAAATTTGAAACCTTTAAAGCCCCTTGGACGAACCGGATGTCACCATGTCAGAAATTTGAAGAAATTCCAACTGAGTTCTAATAATACTGAACTGATTTACATGCAGCATGGTTTAGCTAGTTGAGATAAGATACAGTACTTACCCGCTTATAAGAACCCATTTTTTCAAATTTAGCCTAAACGTGTTCTTATGTAAATGGTGCTTAGTGGAATTTTAGGCTACGGTAGGTTCTTGATTAAATATAGGTTCTAATTTATCCCTTATGTAATGAAAATTTACAAGGTTATCAAACATTATTTATACCAAATTTAGAAGTGTCTACATGTTCAAGTTTACTACAGTTTGAGTATGTTTTTTTGAATGAAGATTTTTGAGGTAAATGTATATAAGAACCCTGTTTCAAATTTTAGGCTATTAAATAGATTCTTAAGGAAGTGGTGTCTAAACTGATATTTTTAACTAAAAGGTTCTTAAATTGCAGTTTCTTATAAGCGGGTAAGTACTGCAGTGGCGGATSCAGGATTTTTCAAAGRGGGGTTCCTCTTTGTTTTCGCATTTTCCTAAAACGAACTTTTTTACTGTGCCTCTCGAACTGTAGCAAATGTAGTGTGAATGTATTGAATAAAAATTCATTTATTTTATTCTTTTATCTTTTTTGTGCYTGAGGGGGGTTCCTAGGAACCCATGGAAAYYCCTGGATCCGCCACTGTACTGTACAACTCTCCTAACTCTAGTATAACGTTATTTCCTGTCAAACTAATGGATTGGTTATTTTTTGAAAACTCTAGAATKATATGATCAATACACTCTACGTGAAAATGGAGAAAACATAGCACGACATAGCACTTTTGAAGAGTGTTTGAACACAGTATTTGGCAATTCATATGATAACACTATAAAAGTTGGAACAGCAGTTACTTCTTGAATCGAATTGTAGTTTATCTTTAAAGTTGACAACTGTTGATGACTTCCTCTATATAAGCCAGTGTTAGAAATGAACTCGAAATTATAGAATAATTAAAACTGAGCCTGATACGAATTACAAATTTAAGTATTCCTRTGAAGATTATTTTCATAACGTACCTCTAGGGATCTTATATCATCCGCCATTTCAAGCAAGAACTCAAATAAGAACTTAAAACTGTTGTAGTTATCTACGTTGACAGGATTCGACAGCACCCTCACAGCTCAACACAACGCTGCTTCACACCTTATAGATGAAGAACCACAAAGGGATTTAATATGCATTTTGTTTTGACTTGCATGGTTGATCATGAAATGCGTCACATTGAATGACAGATTGCATAATTATTAACAAACAAATAGTTGGCAATGCTGTTTTCTGTTTGCTCTCCACGCTCGTTTTATTGGCTAACAGAACAAGACGAACCTGTTTTATCTATAACCATAATAACCATAATTATTATTTTTATYAAAGGCAATAATTCAATGTTGCAAATTAATTTTGCTTCAAAATCAAATGTACTACTTTTTTAAAAAACGAGTCAATGAGTTTTGCATAGGAAATACCACCGTTCAAGAAAAATTAATGAAAAATACCGTGCGTATTTGATAAAGGGATATTAATACCACGAGTGCAAAGCAAGAGATTCGCGTACTATTAATTAATTCACGAATTAAGAAATGATTGGCAGTTCTTTTAGCCAATCAGAATCGAATATTTTATGTAGGCATAATATTAGAGTAACAAGTTCAAGTTCATATTTGACTGTTTTGACTGTCTGTCTAAAAACAAAATATAGGCAAAAGTATAAAATCTTGGCTTTATCAGAACACTGACATTTCATATCTCAAACTGTCCAAGAATTTCTATCAATCAGCCGGCGGGTCTTGTTCTTCTTGATTGGGCGTCATTTTCACGGATTCTTCAGCTGATTTTAGTCCGTTTTCTGGGTAGTAAGGTAGACATGGTACATACTTGGCGAATTTAAACGAACTGAGACGATTTAAACCAAATGGCAGGTCGTAGATACGGAACGATGCGTACTTTATTTCTGTGTCAGCATCATCTGCTTTAGTGTCTGTATAGAAACAAACAGTACTTAGGGGG